TTACCCTTGCTGGACCTGTTTTGTCCCACGTCTGAAGAATGACTGTTATGCAAAGACTCAAGTCAAACAGCAGAGGGCATGCATGAGCTTTGAACACCTCGTTGATACGCTGGTGGATGTCGCAAAGAAGAACTCTTATAAAAACCGTGCCACAACGTTAGTTCTCTCTCTTTGTTCAGCGAACTTTTGTGTGGTGGAAGTTGCAACATGTCCTCTTCAGAAAGTTGCTTTGTGATTGCAGGCGTGTAAGTGAGCTCTTCTTCGGTGTACTTCATCAGAACCTCAACAATCGCTAGAGAATACAATGATGAATATTGTTTTAGATTAGCACTGTAATAGTTCAAGTCTTTATTGCGTGCGATTACATTAAACTCCTAAATCTCCGGTTAGATTTTCGTTGGAGGGCTTAGAGTTGGGTTTACACGTGAACCGCATATGAACTTGTCTTTATTTTTGTAGAGTCTCCAGTCTACTTCACGATGGGAGTGCTGAAGCACGTGGCTTCGGATGATTTGCGCCATAGGCGTTTGTAGCCCACTTGTTGAACGTCTGTATTCGATGCATCAATTATAAATCGCAGTAAACGCGATGAAGAGTTCAGTTGGCGGTAAGTGAATTGAGCCTGGACAACACACTACTTGGTCTTATTGTAAGTTGCGTATGCAATGCGTTTTTGAAAGGAATACTGAGCCGCTGATGACTTCTAACACTTTTCTGACACCTCGTATGAACGCTGTGTTTCAGCAGCTGATTATAAAATCTAGTCTGAGGCTCTTTTGCTTTAATACATGCGGGTTTTGTGAATGGGGTTCTCCACGCTTATGAAAGTTTTACTTTTTATTTTTTTTTGCCTAGGAAGCTCTTGGAAATTTCGTTTAGTCTTCTATGTTTAGGGCCTAGTTGCATCCTGACCCATTGTTTGTCTTAGTGCATTAAAAAAAAAATACTAATGCTTCTATACTTTGAATATTACCATCTGATCTACAAATGTGAGTAAGGCCCCCTTCAGTATAAAGTCTAATTAGATGAGAGCATGGCTGCAACAGAAATGTAAATAAGTTAGTGGGAACTGACTTTTGTGGCATTTAATGTATGAAACTTGTTACTAATGTTGCTTGTTTCTATCAGATTTCACAGATGGTAAGAATGAAGTTCCCAACTGCAAAAATGTGGTGGCCTCCTAAGAGGTGAGACCCTTCATTTTCTACATTTCAAATTTTATGACTCTGATAATCCCATGTGCATGGAAGACTAACAGTGACTCCTCAGAGGAAGGTTGGAGTATTGAATTACATTTATAGTAGAACCGGTGTGCACTGCAGTGATGAGAAACTGTTGCTAAGCTGATCCATGGTTAATGGGCCTGATTGTAAACTCTCTCCCTGAGCTGTGCGGAACACCATACTAAAGTGCATCTCGTAACTGGTTAAGAC